CTGTGTGAGCAAGTAGTCCAACAGTTTAAAGAGGACCTATTAAAGTTAGGCTACATCTTAATCTCAGGTAGTGAGATTTCACCTTTTCAGTTCTGCCTGTTCTGAGCTCTCGTCAGAACGAGCTGTTTATGCATATAAGTTTCAGTTGGCAATGCCCTCCCAATTTTTTGTTTACATTAGCTCCGCCCTCCCAGCACAGCGTTTACGTTAGAACTTCAGAAACATGAAAATAAATGGCTAGTTTAAGCAGATGCACAAAGGTACAACAGCAGTAGACCGGCTGTGCGCAGTGCGGCAACACCAGGCGAGGGCTTGGTAGGGACAGACTAGAGTGTCTGACCGGAGTCAGATGCCTTAACCGGAGAGGCCAACGCACGTCCTTCGCGGCTTCTGAAGCCAGCAAAGAAGAACCGAGGGGCGGTCAAGCTCTGGCCCAGCACCTTGGAGGCTCCAATGAGACGAACGCTCTGGTGCGGGAGTCTCCAGTCCTTCAGCACAATTCCTCCTCGCCGGATCGGTTGACGACAATTTGCTGTGCGGCCACCCCAGGCGACAGACTGGTGTCCGGGGAGGGCGGTGCTCATCTGTCACCGCTTCACGATGCCGTAGGCTGGCATAGTGGAGGGGGGAAAGATGGTCTGTGCACGGACCAGACTAGTGCTGGGCGGTATACCTTTTTGTACCGAATACCGTTTTTTATTTTTGTTATATGAATTTTTTGAATACCAGACATTCTGATTTAAATAGTGGAATGTTTCATCGCGGCCGCCAGTGAACTGTTGTTTCCCGGGGGACATTATTTCTTGCTGCACCGCTATGAGCATGCTAATGGCTGTGTCCAAAACGACAGGCCGGGTCCTCCGGAGGACCCAGACTCCCCGGTCTCGGCGGGCCGGGTCCTTGGTAGACTGGGAAGACCTGAAAAAAAGAGGCTGTGAATTTGGACGGTCTAGCCTCCCCTCCTTACCCCGGCATACGTCTTGTCACCTAGCAACTGTGACGATGCTAAACAAGCAAACTTAAATCAAAATTAGAAAATTATCAATACATTAGCATTATTAATATCACAAAACTATAAAATTAACTTAAAAGTATCATTTGAAGAACTAATTGACCCACTGTAGGTTCATGTTTATTTCGCGTTTTTTATGACGAAAAAATAATATGTAAAAACATGTCTATACAAATGATAAAAGTATTAGAATTACAACCACTAATTTTTTAAAATTTTTATATCACCATATTTTTATTTAAAATGTATTCTTTTCTCTCGCTTCGTCCGCCATTACTAGCATAAAAAAATCTCCTGTCGGGCTGCAATGCATTATGGGATATGCTGGGCTGGGAGGGATCCATCAGACCTGTCCTTCAAATCGGGGAAAAAGGAAGGACGTATTTGTCGGCCGCATCGGAGGAGTCTTCAGTTTTGGTCGTCCTTCGTCGCGGCGCTGTGACGTGACGTATGCGGCCGACAAATTCGGCCTTCGGAGGACCCGTCCTGCCGTTTTGGACACAGCCAATGTTTGGAGCAGCTAGTTGCAGCCGCGGGTGGCGATTCCGCTGCTTATATTGACTGACGTTTAAAAAAACATCCTGTTTTTGCCGTCGCTGAACGTAGTAAACGCATCTTCAGTGACGTGCACAGTTAGATTTAACGCGGTTAGTTAATATGGAGACGTTATGCTGATGGAGACTTAACGTGGTTCTATTGTGAAAAGCCCGCGGGAAGTAGTTCGTAGTGGAGTTAGAATTGACTGGTGTGCAAGGTGAGTCGTGCTGATAAGCTTTAATAAATAACATAAAACAAACCCGATCATAATCTTTTCTTAAACCTCCTCCTTCACGACTGGACCAAAATGAGTAATTACTGTCTCCAACCACCAGTCAGAGAAGAACAGACACAGAGAAAAGAAACAGCGACACAGACAGAGGTACAGTAAAAGAAAAAAGTCAATAAGCAGGGTTTGTACATTTTATTATCAGCTGAGCTGTGATGAAAAGAAAAAATACCATCAAATACCGTGAAATGGGTGAAAATGTTGAAAATGCCGTGATATAAAATTTTGATCATATCGCCCAGCTCAAGACCAGACCATCTTTTCCCATTCACTACGCTGCTTCCCCAGGCCGGCGTAGTGGAGGGGGAAAGGCAAAGCTGCTCACCTCTTTGGTCGTGATTCATGACCACGGCACACTCTATTGTTTAACATTAGTTTGTACATAAAGACAAATCATGTTCATACCGAATAGCAACACTAAACGCACAACATGTCACTTGCCGCCATTATCTGCAGATTTGTGAGGAAGAGAGGGACAGACTTTTCCTGCAGCTGAAAGTCCTTAAAGCTTATTCTGTTGTGTACTGGTAGAAGTCTTAAAAGGAGTCAATCGTGAAATTCGACAAGGCCGAAAACAAGCATTGTTTGCCCGTGACCTTTGATCCCTCAGGTGGCACTGCATTAAATATCAACATCATCCTCTAATGGATATTACCACATGTGCTAAGTACCATTGTCAGTGAACACTATTCATTGCTACATTCAAGTGCAATTTAAAACTCCATAGACCGCTTCTCTGGGCTTCAGCTCATCAGAAATGTGGAAAGTATCCTGTGGTTTGACAAGTCCACATTTCAAATTGTTTTTGGAAATCATGGACATTGTGTTGTTCGTGCCAATGAGGAACAGCACTGTCCAGGTTATCAGCACAAAATTAAAAAGCTAACATCTCTGATGGTATGGGGGTGTGTTAAGGCTGGATTATACTTCGCGTCTTGTTCCCCCTGCTGAGTGACCAAAAATTGCGCAACTTCTGTCTGCTCTCCTGCTGCTATCCCCCCAGTGACAGCCGTCTTGTGCATTGCCCCCAGTCAGAACTGTGAGATGCAGATTTTGCGGCTCGGAGTTTGTGATTGGTTTGAACTTCATGGGTGTGTTTGTTCATGTGGAACACCTCAGTGCTCCAGCAGCACTGAGGAGCAGGTCTCTGATCAGCTCTGCCTTCTGCAGCTTATTTTGTTTTAAAAAAACATTCTGAAGCTAGTTGTTAAGAGCAAGAAAAGCAGTTGATTTGATCCCTCCCATTGAACGTGAGCACGTAGCTGATTTTCAGATTTTCACATCTTTTTTTTTTTTTTTCTTCCATCACCACCGTTTAAAAAAAATAAGTTTTTCTACCATGGACTCTCCTTCACCCAACACAACACTGATAATTGAGTGATAAAAAAAACACTATCCAGCCATCTTTATTGCTGTTTATGTACTTATATGAGCTGTGGAACGGCAGAGGGAGGATCTATGATTTTTTATAGCCTGCCGTGTCTTCAGCTCGTTTATGCTCGATCAGGAAAAAGACATCCAAAATTACGCAAGCTCCAACCCGCTGTCTCACGTCTTACTGAAGTATGATCCAATCTTTAGTGTCCATGGCATGAGTAACTTCCACATCTGTGAAGGCACCATTAATGCTGAAAGGTACATACAGTTTTGGAGCAATGCTGCCATCCAAGCCACATCATTTTCAGGGACATCCTTGCTTATTTCAGCAAGACAATGCCATATTCTGCACAAGTGAAACAATGACTTTGTTGTAAAAGAGTGAGGGTACTAGACTGGCCTGCCTGCAGTCCAGACGTGTCTTCCATGGAAAATGTGTGATGCATTATGAAGTGCAAAATTCGACAATGGAGACCCCATACTGTTGAGTAACTGAAGTTGTTGTATCAAGCAAGAATGGGAAAGAATTCCACCTATTCCACCAATTCCAAAAAGCGAGTATGTTTCAGGCTTTAGTCATTTCCCTGCTCTTCAGTAAGTCTAAGTAATGCAGAAGCCTGTCAATCACTCATTCATTTAAATCAGGTGTGCCAAAGCAGGGAAAACAAGTAAGGCCTGCGTCACACGGAAAGATAATCATCCCGATTTTTGCCCTTCCGACAATCTTAAGTCCAGATTATCGTGATGGCTCTAAAGATAATCATAGCAGATATTCCCGCCGTGGGTGGTGAGTTAAGAGTGATCTAGTCTGCTCGGAAGGACATCAGGACCGCTCCAACCTCAAATTGGGGATATTCAACATGTTTGATTTTTTTTGGTCCGATATCACAGTGTGTAGTGTTCACCCGAGCTCTCAGCCTGTGAATGAGACGTGTAGCCAATCAGAAAGTGAGGTGGCGTAAACACAGAGGGGATTCCAAAATGCAGAAGACAAAAAAACTGTCATGACTCACCAGAAAGTCTGCTGGATGTTAAAAGTCCTATGGAATTGTTCTTCCTCCGGTAAAAATAGTCCACAAACAATTAACATTGTTTCTTGTCGCAAATATTTATTTACTCTGAACTCACGTCTCTCTGGAGGTCACATGAGATTTTTCCTTGGACATCTGAATTCTCGCGAGATTTCAGGAAGTCTCGCTTGATTTAATATCTGACATCTGAATGTTCATGAATGAAATATATTTTCGTGTGTGGTGGTTGTCTGTTGCCGTGTGACTGTACACCACACACTGTAGGACCAGACCTGTTATATCCATGATTTTTTTTATCCTCACGTGTGGTCAGTCTTTGAAAATTGGCCAACTTTTAAAATCTTGTAGTGTGACTCAGCCTTAAACATGCAGAATAGCGGTCCTTGAGGACCAGGATTGAGAATCACTGGTTTAGAGCTTGGTTTTCACGCTCCAGTTTTGAATGAATGGAAAGTCAACCATCTAACTCTGTGGAATGTGTGTGTTTATTTGTTTGTTTGTTTGTTATTTTTATTGGGTTTTTTTGTTTTGTTTTAACTGAATTTGAATTTAAAGAATTTTATATATTGACATGACTAGATCAACTTGATCTTAGTGTCATATATCAAATAAACATAGAAGACCTGATTTTTTTTTAATTGGCCTATGAATTTTACTCATTATGTTCATGGTATTTTTGTACTGTAAAATCAATGAAGTTGTATTTTGTTTTGTGTCAAGCTACAGTAATAAAAATCTCACTTCCCTTTTACAGATGACCAGATTGGACATCTTCAAGATTTTGATGACAGAAGACACCTTTACCATCAGGTACAAAAGTTTTCTTTCTTTCTCCTTTTTTTAGGGGATGCTTGTGGAGGCAAGCTTCTACTTCATAGAAGTAAAAGTGATTTGTTTTGGTTTAATGGTGTTTATTCCCACATAATATACACTCACCGGCCATTTTATTAGGTACACCTGTCCAACTGCTCGTTAACACTTAATTTCTAATCAGCCAATCACATGGCGGCAAC